TGGATGTGAATCAAGGAATTGCGAATCAGATCTCAGCAGGGTATGATAGTGACCCAGAGCTTTCGCCAGTAATCAAGCGCTTGATGGCTTGCAGCGAAGACGCCATGCATGAGCGATACGTCTGGAACAGTGTGGACCGGCGGCTGTACCTAGTAACATCGGGCGATGCTCGCCTCTGCATTCCTCGCGGTCCGGTACGGCTGCAACGGCTCAAACAGAATCATGATTGCCTGACGGCCGGCCATCCGGGGAGAGACAGGACCTACCTGAAGCTGAGCAGATACTTCTATTGGCCAGGCATGAGAAGTACTGTGAAGGACTTCGTTAAATCTTGCGACCGGTGCCAACGCGTAAAGGGTAGCCAGACCAAGGCAGGACTGTTGCAGTCCCTTCCAGTCCCCGAGCAGCCCTGGACAGACATCAGCATGGATTTCATCAAGGCACTGCCGCTGACCTGCCGAGGACATAGCGCCATTCTAACCTTTGTGGACCGTCTGACGAAGTATGTGCACCTGATCCCGACGACTGTTCATGTTGACTCTAAGGAGGCAGCCCGATTGTACGTGGATCATGTGTTTGCTGCCCATGGCTTGAGCAAAACGATAGTTTGTGATCGAGATCCGCGATTCACGTCGGCGTTCTTCAAGGAGGTTTTCAGTATTCTTGGCGTGGAGCTAAAAATGAGCACGGCCAACCACCCGCAGACCGATGGCATGACTGAGCGTGTGAACCGTGTCATTGAGGATACGCTAAGAGCTTTCGTCAACCATAGGCAAAACAATTGGGATGAACTCCTATCGCTATGTGAGTTTGCGATCAACAATGCCGATCAAGCGTCAACAGGTAACACGCCATTTTTCCTCAACCATGGATGCCATCCAGTTACTCCCTCGAGCTTATTGACGAAGCAGAAAGCTGGAGCTGGCATGGACACGAATGGTCCGCTGTCATGGCTGGATGGCCGCGTAGAGGCACTACGTGAGGCACAGGATGCCATCGTGGCGGCGCAGGCCCGGCAATCATTGTATGCGGATCGAGGACGGGTGGAGGACGCCCTGAAGGAGGGGGATGAGGTGTTGGTCTTCAGGGACTTCTAGCTGACGCCCGAGGAACGAGACAGGCCTTCACACAAATTAAGGCTCAAGTGGTATGGGCCGTTCAAGGTGCAGAAGAAAGTGGCCCCGAATGCGTACAGATTAGCTCTTCCAAGAATCATTCGGGCCCATCCAGTGTTCAATATTGCTGCCCTCAAGCTGTGCCATGGCAATGAGATACCGGGCCGTACTCAGCCGGCACCTCCACCCCTAACCGATGCGGATGGCCATACGCGGTACATTGTCGAAAAGGTGTTGTCGCACAAGAAGAGAGGACGGCGCACGCAGTACCTAGTGAAATGGAAGGGCTACCGAGATGCCACCTGGGAGCCGGAGGAATACTTGATGGATGAAGCAGGAAACGCTATTATTCCACTGAAAACCTACCTGGACCGTTTTTCATAAAATTGCTATTTAATTGGCAGCCACAGTTGTATTGCTAGTTCCTACGTGTTGCAATAGAAATGTAGCATTCTGCATGATTAGGATAGTGCTTCCCTGCCAGCCAGGCGTTATTTGCAGAGGACATGCACTGGATCTTGAGTTCATCAGTGTTGTTTTCGGCTACCATGCATTCCACATATCCATGCATGATCATTAGTTACCATAACTGTTCCTTCGAATTGGTACTGTTCTGACAGTTGAGAGGGGGGAATGGTGTAACAGATTCACTGTTACTACTAACACTAGGAATAGGATACACTTATCACCTGCTATTATCACGCTGCTGCTGTTAGGTGTTATGTCCATCATTGCTTGTTCATGTATATAAGAATGCATTATGGCAAGGATCATTGCTTATTCCAAGAATGACTACTGAAGTTAGTTGGACTGTTACAGTCGGGCTGGCAGTCGGTCACGTACCATTCGTAGGGCTGCTTCCGAATAAACCGTGAACAGTACCGGTGACAATCCATCGCCCTGGGGGACCCCCCGAGCTGTCTCAAAAGGTGCGGACTGTGCTTCGTTCACGCGAACTGTCAGCGCTGTGCCAGATAGCAGGTACCTAACCAGTCGTAAACCGTGCGCGTCTCCAATTTTCTCTTGCTCCATGACATCAAGCAACTTTGTGCGGTTTATTGTGTCAAAAGCTTTGCTCAGATCCAACCCTAGCACGTAGATCGTGGTGTTGAAGCGTTCAACAATTGATGCTAGGATCCGTTTGCAAAACACAATGTCTGCGGTTGATCTGTTCTGACGGAACCCGGCTTGCGATGGAGACATATATCACTCTACGTCAGCTCTGATCCGGCTAAGTGTGATGAGGGACAAGATTTTTCTGGCAGTAGTCAGCAAAGTTATCGGACGCAAATTGTTCATGGGGCCTTTGGGTTTACCTGGCTTATGCAGAGCGATTAGTACACCATCTCCAAGGGACGCTTTGGATTGGATTGGATTGGATTTTTATTTATAGTGGTGACTATAACCGACAATTGCCTAATAACAATAGACCCACTCGAGGGAAAGATGCAAAAAGATATGAATAATTAATATAATAGACTACCGGTATTGGATAGGTGATCATGGTCGCATTTTGCATAGCTGAAAGTCATAATTACTAGCGTGAAAAAGCAAGGCATTGGGGTAACAGTTTCTTAAAACGCTTGGCTGTGCTGAGTGAATACATCGATGAAAATGCTGCTCAGGCATTCTGCAAGTGCAGGGCCTCCGTACTTGACCAGCTTGGCCGGTATGTCATCAGGCCCGCAGGAGCGTTGGTTCTTTAGACGACTCATTGCGCTCGCTACCTCTGCTGTGGAAATCGGTTTGTCGAGGGGTTTCAGTGTTCCTTTAAATGGCGTAACCGCTGGCTCTGCAGCAGTAGGAGAGAATTTCCCTGTGTAATGTTCAGCTACTCTATCCGCTTGCTCTCCTGGCCCAAATACAGCCTTGCCGTTGTTATCTACAATGGTTAAATCTAGTGGGCACTTTGGTTTCAGCAGTTTTATCGCTGCAAACATCATTGGCCCGTTCTTGAGCGACTCCACTTCTCTGATGCGGCCCTCAAGATGCTGTAACGCCGCTGTCGAGACAGGATTTGGATTTCCTTCTGCACTCTGTTACGCTGCACTCGCAGCTCATTTATTCTATTCATGTTTGGTATGCTATTAAGATCCATACGCAGCTTCCTCTGCAATTCTGAGAGTTTGTCTACCTCATCCGTAGCGTAGGGTAGCTTGCTTCTGCTCGGTGTGTATCCAACTACTCCAGTTGACACCTCGCGAATGGATGAGCATGTTGCCGTGAGTCTTGCGCTTGCTTCTGCCACATTGAGTTGAGGTGCCGCTTCTTCCATTTTCGTTTGGTATAATTTATGCATTTTCTTTTCATTGACCAGTCTCATGGTGTTGAACTTGCGTTTCGGATTGTTTTGCCTCGGTTCCACACAGGGTGAACAGCTTTAAATGTTACACGGGCCATAACTAGGCGATGGTCAGAAAAGGTTCTTGTGCCAGCGTATGACCTGGCGTCCTGCAGCACAGCTCTTTGTCTCGAGTTACATACCGTACTGGCAATATATGTTGCCGCAGTGAGGCCATGAAGCGTTACATTCGCACATGTTTGCCGCACGCAGGGCGTTACATGCAAAGTCGCACAGGAGCCGTTACACAGGTTTCTATATTGCCGCAGTCCTTTTTTTGCTATAGCCGCATCACTTTTGTGCTATTGCCGCATCACTTTTTTGCTTTTGCCGCATCATTTTTTTCTTTTCATCCACATTGAAGGCACAGAAATTCAGTTGCTATCCAACTGTTACAAACCCGACGGCAAAGGGCGACAACGATATCAATAGAAGACTGTATATTTTAACTATCAGAGTGCAAAACGACCTCGGGAAAGAAGAAACCATTGAGATCGCCAACCACTGATTGATGCGCCTTCCAGTGTCAGGACTTCCTGCTGCGTCCAGTTTTGAACTTTTCACCACGCGGTACACGTGCTTTCACAGTTTTCAGCCTTTTTTGCAGTGCAAACTGCAATGAAAAGATTGTCGCACCCCGCCGGACGCGCGTTACGAACTCAACGAAAATTTGTCGCACTAGCCTGGTCGCGCGTTACGCCGCACCCCCCTGCGTTACGCGTTACGCGGCAACATATATTGCCAGTACGGTAGTATGAAGTTGATCTGATTGAAGATCCTTTTACCGGCTGGGCTCTTGCCTTCCCAGGTGGTTAGATATCTGCTTGGGTTTTGGAAGCACGTATTGCTCATTAGAAGATTGTTCATTTGCGCAAATTCAATGAGAGCGTCTCCATTGGCATTCCGCTTGCCTTTACTGTATTTTCCCAGGCACTCTTCATAACATTGCTTACGGCCCACTTTGGAATTAAAGTCCCCCAGCACCAGTATAGCTGAGCTGCCCCGGACGTCGTGTAATACTTTCGTCAACTGGTCATAAAACTTATCGAGGACTTCTGGTTTTCGCTCCGATACAGCTGACGTGGGACCGTACGCGTTCACAAAGCTCAGCAAAAACGTCCGTTTTCCGCCGCTGCAAGGTAACTTGAATTGCAGTACGGCCAGCCGCTCGCAGTCCGCCGGTGTCCAGGAGTGGTACAGGAACCGACTCAGGCGGGGGGCTACCAAGAAGCCCAAGCCGTACGCAGGGGTTTCTGGCTTGAACGTCAATAGTCGATATCCTTCAAGCGTTGCCGTTACGTTGTCTTGTATCTTGGTGTCTTGTAGAGCGACGACTGTACGACGGTTCATTGCTATATTAAGATTATTCTCTCCACGTCCTCTTTCTTAGTAACACAGCGATTAATTTTGTTGAAACGGTGCTCGTTCTGAATCAACATTATCTTGATAACAATATGGGATGATGAAAGAATTCCACATACAATGTACCATGCATTGCTTTGGCACTTTTTTTAATGATTTTCACCATCAATGTCGTAGCATACCTTGATTCAAGTACACCGCAACCTGTGAGTCAAGAATGACACACCCGTAACAGGAGTTGGTGGAGATAGTGCCGATACCATATAAATTGACATAGAGACTTGGTTTCAGAATAAGAGGATTGCCACTCAGCCATCTACAAAGGACAAAAGAGATCAGAGGAAACTCATGGTCAATTACCGAAAAAAAAAGGAAGACTTAGTGGCAGCTACTTCGGCGATGTTTCGGAAGGCTGCTTTTACTGGCAAAGCAAAGCACAATCATCACCATGTATTCGTACAGTGAATATCCCCCCAATGTTATTAGCATTTTGCCTGTTTTGATTTCCACTATAAATAAAGTATACAGAGGGTGTGCGCCTTAACCTGCAATAGTGCTCAAATGCCCGGAATGGGCAGAGCGTAGTACGCAAGAGGTACACAAAAGGAAGTATATAGGGCTGTTTTTTGTTGTAACTCAGAGTTTCATGGCAAAAACCAATCATCAGACAACATAAGGAGATTAGAAAAACGCAGTTATATGAAGGCAAGCAGAGGAGATAGAATAATTCAGTGCAGACAATATGATAATCATTCAACACCTCCCAGAGGCAGTACGCTCTGACGTGCCAGAATCAACATCTCAGGTGCTGGGTGAAACATGAACACGCACACTCATCCACACACACACACACACACACACACACACACACACACACACACACACTAATCCACACACAGCCTCTCGTTCTCACACACTCCACACTCCCGCATTATCACACCTAAACACATGCGCACGCACACACACACACACGCACCAAAACACACACATGCACCACACACACACACATACACACAGCCTCTCGTTCTCACACACTCCACGCTCCCGCATTATCGCACCTAAACACACACACACACGCACACACACACACACACCAAACACACACGCACCACACACGCATGCACCACATACACATACCTACACACAGCCTCTCGTTCTCACACTCTCCACACTCCCGCATTATCGCACCTAAACACACACACACACACACACACACACACACGCGCGCGCGCGCGCCAAACACACACGCACCACACACACATACACAGACACACACACATACACACATACACACATACACACACACGCCAAACCCATAGCACGTCATACACGTTATGTCACTTCATAACCCAGCAAAAACTTGCGCTGGTGGCGGCACTTTGATACTAACTCGCTCCTTTTGTTAAGTGAGATGGCATTTGGAGTGGTGAGGATGTGAAACTTCTCCGTGAGGCACAGGCTGCATCGTTTGCTGATGTTGCTGTAGGATGGGGCGCGATCTTTTATTTTCCATCTGATGTCAAAGTTGCGCTGGGCGTTCTGAAGGTCCCAAATATGCTTTGAGAGCTCCGTCGATGTAGAGTATTTCTCATGCCGGAATGTTGTGGAGTGGTTGTTGTAGCGCGATTTAAAGGTGTTGGCCGTCAGTCCGGTGTATGTCTTGGTCTGGGGAGATGACACATGTGCCTGGTATATGACGTCAGTCGACTGGCATTCCCCCTTGAGCGGGCAGGATGGCTTGACCCGGCAGTTACAAGGCTCAACGGGCGGCCTTGGCTGGAGATGATGGAGGCTACGTTTCTCATGCAGCTGTAGCTGATTTTTATCTTGTTTTTGTTGAAGATCTTATTCAGTGTCTTTCCGACGTGCCTCGAACCAGCTCCAGGACAAAATGAGGAAGGACATCAAGCTGATCAAGGACGGCGCCGAGATAGTTGTACCAGCAGACAAGACTCGAAACTTGTACCGTGTGCCAGTCCCCCAGTATGAAAAGCTGATGCGCGAAAACATAACGAAAAAATACAAGCTCGCTCCCGACAATACATACGCGAACATCAACGCTGAAGCAAAAGCGATTGCCGTCGACCTCCAACTGGAAGACCGAATGGAGTGTCTCGCCAAGGCGCAAGCGTTTGTAACTTTAAAGGACCATTTTCCAAAGGGTTCGGCACTGAATAAGATCTTCAACAAAAACAAGATAAAAATCAGCTACAGCTGCATGAGAAACGTAGCCTCCATCATCAAAGGTCACAACGCTGCGAAGCTCCAGCCAAGGCCGCCCGTTGAGCCTTGTAACTGCCGGGTCAAGCCATCCTGCCCGCTCAAGGGGGAATGCCAGTCGACTGACGTCATATACCAGGCACATGTGTCATCTCCCCAGACCAAGACATACACCGGACTGACGGCCAACACCTTTAAATCGCGCTACAACAACCACTCCACAACATTCCGGCATGAGAAATACTCTACATCGACGGAGCTCTCAAAGCATATTTGGGACCTTCAGAACGCCCAGCGCAACTTTGACATCAGATGGAAAATAAAAGATCGCGCCCCATCCTACAGCAACATCAGCAAACGATGCAGCCTGTGCCTCACGGAGAAGTTTCACATCCTCACCACTCCAAATGCCATCTCACTTAACAAAAGGAGCGAGTTAGTATCAAAGTGCCGCCACCAGCGCAAGTTTTTGCTGGGTTATGAAGTGACATAACGTGTATGACGTGCTATGGGTTTGGCGTGTGTGTGTATGTGTGTATGTGTGTATGTGTGTGTGTCTGTGTATGTGTGTGTGGTGCGTGTGTGTTTGGCGCGCGCGCGCGCGTGTGTGTGTGTGTGTGTGTGTGTGTGTTTAGGTGCGATAATGCGGGAGTGTGGAGAGTGTGAGAACGAGAGGCTGTGTGTAGGTATGTGTATGTGGTGCATGCGTGTGTGGTGCGTGTGTGTTTGGTGTGTGTGTGTGTGTGCGTGTGTGTGTGTGTTTAGGTGCGATAATGCGGGAGCGTGGAGTGTGTGAGAACGAGAGGCTGTGTGTATGTGTGTGTGTGTGGTGCATGTGTGTGTTTTGGTGCGTGTGTGTGTGTGTGCGTGCGCATGTGTTTAGGTGTGATAATGCGGGAGTGTGGAGTGTGTGAGAACGAGAGGCTGTGTGTGGATTAGTGTGTGTGTGTGTGTGTGTGTGTGTGTGTGTGTGGATGAGTGTGCGTGTTCATGTTTCACCCAGCACCTGAGATGTTGATTCTGGCACGTCAGAGCGTACTGCCTCTGGGAGGTGTTGAATGATTATCATATTGTCTGCACTGAATTATTCTATCTCCTCTGCTTGCCTTCATATAACTGCGTTTTTCTAATCTCCTTATGTTGTCTGATGATTGGTTTTTGCCATGAAACTCTGAGTTACAACAAAAAACAGCCCTATATACTTCCTTTTGTGTACCTCTTGCGTAAATAAAGTATACAACAACAACAACAACAACAACAATAGTTAAACCCAACACGAATGAAAATTGAGAACTAGAATTAAATATTGTAAACATATTCAATATCGAACCCGAACAAAATAAAAAAAAGTAGAAAGGAAAAGGACATATGGAAACGAGTTAAGAGTAACTCTCCACCATTGTAACCAGATATTATAATTATACAGTCAGAAAGTGCAGCAACTAGGCACAAAACTGACAGAGTACTGTACTTTTCCTTTTCCTTTCTACTTTTATTATTGGCTCAATACCCGAGTTTCAAATAAAATAATATAAAAACAAAAATATTATGTAAAAAAATTCAATATCAAACACGGAACTATTTACCCACCCAATCCACGATCTTCATGTTAAAACGAAACGGCGTCACGATTTATTGAAAGTGGTATAGTTGGTGGAACGAGTGTTCAAAACCATTTGAACTTCATACTGTTCGTCTTCTTTGTGACATGCTCTCTTTCCATCGTCCTTAGCTTTTGTTTGTTGTGAGCTGTTTTGGCTTTCTCCTGTACCTCTGGGGGATGCCAAGTGATGGTTTTGAGAGGCTGGTGATGGCTGTGAGCGAGAGTTTGACGATCGGCGTGGTCCTCGCTATAGCGATGAAAATACTAGTTACTGCGCACCTGGCAGATATCACAACACGTCAGAGCGTCCAGGAGCAAAGGAATCTTGGGTTTTCACTGGAATCTAGTTCCTCCAGCATCGTGTAGCCCACCGTCGGTGAATGGCCGTCCAGAAAGGTCGAACCTGGTCTTCTGCAGCATCTCGCAGTCCTGCGAGGCACACCGTGTACGCCTGCCATGTATTGTACAAATAAAACTCATGCAGTAGTGGACTCTACAGTGATGAGTCTCAGCCTGTATGCTGCAAAAGACACAGGAAATGGGACTGGTGTCTGTACACTCAGTGATTGGACGCCAACACCCCAGTCTTCTCCTGCAGGATCTGTTTGATATTGACATTATGCAGTAGGTCGGCATTGACCTGGTTTGGCAGCTATCGTAATAGTATCTGCCTGGTTGGATGTAGCAGGTTGGCGTTTGCTTGTCGTCCAGTCCGGAATTTTCTTGTAACTCACGGTGGAGTACGCGCAGGGTTTGTGATCATCCCTGTTCACTTCACTATTATCAAACACAACGTTCCCTTTGCCACTCATCTTATCCTGAGTACTGAATTTGCTGACAATATTGCACCACACTTGTCACAACCTACCGCCACTGCTGGCGGTGGCGACTGGTTCGTCAATGGCGGTGACCAGGCTGACTGACTAGCTTCGAGACAGCGGCCTCGTTGTCAACCCCCCGGCAGCCTCAGCGCCATGTTGACGATGCCCTAGTGACTGTGTGTCATGGATTGCCTTGCCATCAGCCGTCATTGCGGTCCACCTTGGTGCAGCTCTCAACAACTGGCTCAGCCCATGGGAGTCTCAAGTGGACAAAGTTGTTGCCAAAGTAGCTCAGAAGATTGGTGCATCTTGGTGTAGGTGAGCACATAACCTGGACTTCCCAGCGCCAAATTGTCCAGGCTGCGATACTATGTGACGTGCTGTACTGCACATTCTTTTCAGCACTGCAAGGCCGGCAGCTGGACCGACTGCGGGTGCCGCGCACATGCAGGCCGCCTGTTGCCAGTGCAGCCATCTGGAACGTTCCTTCCTTCTGAGATCTGTGGAATAATAACTTTCTTTGCTTCAAAACAAGTTGCTTACCTTTCTGTTGTGCTCCCAGTGTCCTTACAACAATCACATACAGCAATGTTTTATTTTCCTTTCCATTCCCCAACCAATGAATACTACAATGTCGATTCTATTTCTGAATACTTTAGTGTGTGCCCGCGC